CACTGCAAGACTGCTGATTACACCTCCTAACACCTCCTGGGACAGTGGTGGGCTCCTGGTCTCAGATACATCCAGGAGGCTCCTACAGCAAACAGATAACACGATAAGATTGCCCCATCTCTGCACAGAGATGCCAGCCTTTACTCTGTTGTTTCATTATGTGTCTGAATTCTAAGTTGCTCCCTATTTTTTTTTTGGTAACTGCTTTATTAACATATAAGTCACTTTCACCCATTTAAGCTTACAATTCAAGGCTTTTAGTCTGTTTGCAGAGCTGTGCAACCATCATGACAATCAATTTTAGAACATTTTCATCACCCCAAAAGAAAAACCCTGTACCCATTAGCAGTTGACCCTCACTCCTTTTTCCCCCAGCCCTAAGCAACAACTAATCTTTCTGTCTCTATGAATCTTCCTATTCTGAACATTTCATACATTGGGTTGTCGGAAAAGTCATGACGTATTTTGTCTGTTTTTCAAAGGTCATTTATTTATATAAAGAACAAAGATCAATCAGTGATATACTGCCCGTTTTGTTCGATAACCTTTTGCCATCTTTCAGTGAGCGTCATAATTCCTGGTTCATAGAAGGACCTGTCTTTATTTGCGAAAAACTGAACAAAGTGCTGATTTACAGCCTCATCTGAATTGAACGTTATACCACGCAAGGAGTTTTGAAGACAGCGAAACAAGTGGAAGTGGAAGTCTGACGGCGCAAGGTCAGGTGAGTATGGTGGGTGTGGCAACACATCCCATCCAAGCTCCAATAATTTTTTTTTTTTTTTTAGCTGAGCCATCCTGCCACCTGGTGTCAGCTCAGCTTGGGCCGGGAATCACACCGGTGACCCTGTTGCTCAGAGCGCTCATTCTTGAGTGAGCTCTTAACCAACTGAGCCATTCGGCCAGCAAGCTCCAATAATTTTTGACGGGTGATCAAACTTGTGTGTGTGGTCTCGCGTTGTCATGATGGAACACAACTCCTTTACAATTAATAAGCTCTGGACATTTCTGGATGATGGATTCGTTCAAACTGTCCAATTGACGACAGTACACATTCGAATTGATTAGTAGGAGACACCTTTAAAATCCCACCACACTGAGAGCATAACTTTCCTCTGATGAATGTCTGCTTTCGATGTCGTTTGAGGCGAATCATCACATCAGTACCAAGACCGTTTACGCACCACATTGTTGTAAACAATCCACTTCTCATCACCAGTTATCAGTCGCTTCAAAAAAGGATTGTTTTCCTCAGGTTTAATGAGCATATTGCAGGTATCTATACATGCCGTCAAGTGAACTTCTTTGAGTTCATAAGGAACCCAAATATTGAGCTTACTTATGTATTCAAGCTTCTTCAGGTGGTCGTGAATGCTTGAATCATGGATGCTCAATGTTTCTGCAATCTGTGTCGTCTGACGTGGGTTGGACTCGATCAGTGCCTTTATTTTGTCGTCATCAACCTCGGTGGGCCTTCCTAACCAAGGAGCGTCGCTGAGATCAAAATTACCAGCACGGAATTTCATGAACCATCGTTGGCACTAACATTCTTGTAGAGTATTGACGTTCTTGTAAAGCAAAGTTGCAACTTTATGCAACTTTTCACAAGCTTGACATGTGTTCTTCCCTTTATGGAAGTAAAACAGTAAAATATGGCAAAAGTGCAGTTTGGGTCTTCCATCTTCAACTTGTTGTAAAATCTCCAAAACTCAACCAAATCCCTCAGTACTTTTTTAGAATGAAGCTAGAACTGTCAGCTGTCAAATGACATAGCAATAACATAGATGTGAATGACTGTAGTACTTCCAAAAATGAACTAGTGCCATCCGTTGCAAACATGCGTCATGACTTTTCCGACAAACCAATAGATGGAATCATACAATACGTGGTCTTATGTTACTGGCTTCCTTCACTGAGCATCATGTTTCCAAGGCTGTTGTGGCATGAATCAGAACTTCAATCCTTTTTATGGCCGAATAATATTCCATTGCATGGATGGGCCACATTTTGTTTATCTATTTATTAGTTGGTGGGTTGTTTCCACTTCCTTGGCACTCATGAACGTGAACGTTCATTCTGCGAATATGAACAAATGCTGTGGACATTTGTGAACAGGTTTTTGTGTGGACATGTTTCCCTTCTTTCGGGACTATTCCTAGGAGTAGAATTCCTGGTGAGTCATGCTTAATGTTTTCAGGAACATGTGCCTTTAGCTTTAAGTGCAAATACAATCTAATCATCTCATTTATCCCTTGATTGCTGATAATGGCAAGAGGGAAATGGGAGTTCCATTTTTGTGAGTGAGGGAAGTGAAACCCAGGGCACTCAAAGGACAGCAAATAATAAATAATAAAGCTACCATTCGTACTGAGTGCCAGCACATCCCAAAAACCATGCAAAGTGACCCAAATACTGTAAGCCATTCCATCCTCACAATAGCCTTGTGAAGCTGGCATTACATTGACCCTCATTTTATGGTTAGAAAATCTGTATTTTGAACAAGTGACGTGGCCCATGACTTGAACCCAGTTCCATCTCAGTAAATTTTAGGCTCTCGCTGGCTCTCAAACCCTCTGCTATTCAGTGGACTCTGGGGGGTCAGCAAATTTTCACCCAGCCTCTGGAATGGCAAGGTTTGCATGTCCTGTTCTATTTGATCTCTAATGCATGGGACACCGTGGACCACCCTTTGCCTTTCCTCCTCTCTGACTCTCTTCTTAGTCTCCATGAGTCTTTCCTGGATATATCCTAGAGTCCCTTCCTCTCTTTAAAGGGTCTCCCTGTCTCCTATTTCCACCCTTTCCACACTGCTAGAATGATCTGCCTAAAACACAGATCTAGTCATATCACTCAGCTTTAAATTCTCAACATTGCCCATCACTACTGAACAGGATAAATGCTACATTACACAGACTAGTCTGTAAGACCCTCATCTTTCCCCACCCCCTACCTTCCCATTTCAAACCCTATAATCCAGCCATAAAGAACTATTTGGGGACGGCCAGGTGGCTCAGTTGGTTAGAGCGCGTGCTCTTAACAACAAGGCTGCTGGTTCGACTCCTGTGTGGGATGGTGGGCTGCACCCTCCGCAACTAAGATTGAACTCAGCAGTTCAGGGCACTTTGAGCTGAGCTGCTGACGGGCGGCTGGATGGCTCAGTTGGTTAGAGCGCATGCTCTTAACAACATGGTTGCCGGTTTGACTCCCATGTGGGATGGTGGGCTGCGCCCTCTGCAGCTAGATTGAAAATAGCGACTGAACTTGGAGCTGAGCTGCGCCCTCCACAACTAATACTGAAGGACAACAACTTGACTTGGAGCTGATGGGTACTAGGAAAAACATACTGTTCCCCAATAAAGTTAAAAAAAAAAGTACATTCCCTTTACCCATCAATTTTATAAAAACAAACAAACAAAAAACCCCACCTGCTTACAGTTTCCCAGAGACATTCTTCATGTCATTTCTCTGGGACTTTGCATTAGTAGTTCTCACTGCTAGAGTGCCCTTCCCCATGGAACTCTTACACATCCTTTAAGTTCTAACTTCAATGTCCCTCTCCTCTCTGAAGCTTTCCTCCTCTGGGTACTATCTCGTCGACCTCTCAAAGCACTTTGTTTTGAAGTCTTCAACACAAGCTATTTTATTAGTTTCCTTAGCTGGTCTGTGTGCACTTTGAGAACAGAGATTGGGCGTTATTCCATTCTGTATATTTCCAGGCCTAACACAAGACCTTGTTTGGTTGAATGAGCAATTAGGCTCTCACTAGCTCCCAAACATTTATAGAATAAATGTTCTATATCTGCACTGTCTAATATGGTAGCCATGAGCCACATGTGGCTTTGGGGCTCTTGGAATGTAGCTGGTTCAAATTAAGATGTGCTGTAAGTTTTTACACACTGGATTTCAAAGACTTAGTGTGGAGAAAGAATGTAAAATATCTTTGATAATTTTTTAATATTGATTAAACAGTAAAGCAATATTTTGCATATATTTGGTTAAATTAAATATATTAGTCTCTCTCTAATTTTTAAAACATGGTTAGTAGAAAAAAATTTAAATTACATATGTGTTGCTCTCCCAGCTTACTAATTGCTTCTCTTGATCTAAACCACTCTCCACACAGCAATCATAATGATTCTTTAAAATGTCAATTGAATCATATACAGTTGAGTCTCATTATTAGCGGTTATGGTCCATAAATTTGCCACAAACACTGAATGAGTGAATATTGAACCACTGCTCCTGGGGAAATACAGAGTAAGCTTCCTGACAGCCTCTGGTCACACTTGCATCAATCGATCAATACATAACTGTTTCATCAGTGTTTCTATTTAAAGACACCTGTTTAATATACAATACTGATTTAGTAACATTGAACTCAATATAACTCATGTCCGTACAAAGCTTATCTAACACGCGTTTTCTCTGTAAGGCACATCACAGCCTTTTCGCACTCAGGAACACTAGACAGCGCTCCAGCACTATGCTCGGGAGCCATTTTAAACAGCAAAATCACCAATCAAACAGCCTAAGGACGAGAAAAACACGGCACTAAACATATACAAAAAAGGACATTTGTTTCCAGCATTAAAGCTGAAACAATAAGTTAGCGTGCTGCCTTATTAATCTCAGTTAGCACCGTGCACATCAGGCGACAAAAATCTTTCCCATTCTATGCACGTCTACAGAATGAACGTACAGCACCTAAACTCAAACGCAGCTGGGAGGAGGGAAGGTGCGCATTCTCTGATGGATGCACTGGTGCTGGCCTGGGCGGGAGGGAGAGCTAATAGGGTCCTTCCCATGTCTTCCAGTCAATCCCTCACTTGACTAAAGGGTCCCTTAGGTCCTCTCACGTGCCTCGTCTAGAGTCTAGAAGGAAGCTTCTCCGCTCGTCATGACGTCACCAGGGCTTGGCACGTGCCACCCCCCCCCAGCTGACCTCATGGCCCCGCCCCTCCCCGTGACGCCACAAGCCTCGGCTGGGCTCCAAAGCCTACCTGCCTCTTTCTGACAGACGCGCGACTACGAGCTGCGGAGGTTGCCGTTTCTGCTGCTGCGGCCGCCGCGGGTGCCGCGGAAACGTGAGTCACCTCGAAAACGGTGAGTCGCCTCGGCCTTTCGAGTCGGCTTTCCCCAGAGGCCCCCCCCCACCGGGAGAAGGGCTGGGCGCTTGCGCCCCTTGGAGGGAGGGAATGACCTAGGACCGCAGAGCCCCCTCCCCGCCCGCGCGCTCGCGCGGTGCATGGTAGGCACTGTAGTCCCCGTGGTCGGCCGATTGCGCCTAATGCGCACGGACGGACTACACCTCCCAGAGGCCTTTGGGCGGGTGGGGTGGGCGGTGTGCGCGTAAGCCCGGCTGGGCTGAGGGTCTTGTCCTCCGAGCGACTGGACCCTGGCCAGTCTCCGCGTACGCTCGACCTCTGGCCCCTGGCCTTTCAAGGTAAAGAGACCCTGGGGACGGCGCAGTGGGTCTGTCGCATGTTCCCAGGACGCTGATGCGATCCAGAGCGGCCCTCGGGATTTTGACATTGTATCGTCGCTGGGTTGGCTGGCCACCCGCGGGGCTGCAATAACAGCTTAGCCAGGCCCGGGCGGGCGTTGGGGCTCGGTGCCTCGGGGGCTGCCGGCTCTTTCCTCGGGTCCCGCCGGCTCTTTCCTCGGGTCCCGCTTATCACAGCCGCCACATTCTCTGTAGGAAAGATTGGGGAACTACCATGTCCGATTTTCTGTTGTTTTCTCAAGAAAGGGGGTTGGAAGGAGGGTCCCGGCCACAAAGAAGCCCCTGCTGAGCTCCTTGGTGACCTTGGCAAGCCTGAGGGGCCCCCGCGCGGCTCTCCCTCCCCCGTCCGCCCCAGCTCTCCAACATCAGTAAATCCCTGTGCCCTCTCTTGGCCGCACGCTCTAGGGCCAGGGGGGTGGCAGTGACCTGGCCTGGCTTTGGGCCCAGCCCCATGCCATACAGAACCTTGGTGTAGTTGAACTTATGGCGTCATGCGAACGCAGGTTTGGGCACTTGACTTGTTTATGGGTTTGTGTGTGTGTGCTATTTTTCTCTAAATGTTCCTAGGAGGCCTCTCAACAGGTGTCAGGTAAGGAGCAAGCAGCTGTAAGTTTCTCCAAGTGTGGGCCTAAGATCCTCTGCCTCAGAATCCCAGGGGCCCTTTTTAAAGGGGCCAATTCCTGGAGCCCACTTCTAGAGGTTCTGATTCAGCAGTTATGGGATGTGGACCAGGACTCGATGTAATAAGCTCCCCAGATAATCCTCAGGCCCACTTGGGGCTGAGAACCTCTGTCCTAGAGTGAAGAGGATGGGAACCTGGGGCATAGTATTTACATCAATTTTGTTTGCTGGGGCTTCCTGCTGGGCAGGGCAGTGCTTAGGCAAGTGTTTCTGGACACTGTTTCTTACCTCAGGGCTGACTTGAGAGAGGGGTGGGGAGAGGCCTGTCAGTTCTGCCTTGCCTGCCCTCTGCCCCAACATTTAATTATGAAAAATTTCACACATACAGAAAAATTGAAGAAGTTTTACAGTGAATACCCATAGAACACCACCTAGAATGTACCACATTTCACCACATTTTATCATAAATCTAACCATCCAACAGCCCATCTTATTTTTTTGTTTATGTCTGTCAAAGTAAGTTACAAACATCAGTCTCATTTCCTTCCAAATAGTTAATCATGCATGTAATTAAGCAGAGTCTTAGGATTATTGTTGCTTTTTGTTTTGTAACCAATAGAAGCCCTGGGTATTTGAAAGTCTCTTTCTCCTATCCCTGAAGAGCTGGACGTTTTCCTGTAGGATGGGCCTGTGGAACCAAAAAAGAGCTTGACATGGGCTCTTATACAGATTTGAAAACAGCAGGCCATAGTTCTAGAATTACCTGAAGAGCAGAAACATGGAATGTGTGACATAGAATAATACTTCAGGGACCAAACTGTTTTGAGGGGCAGCTAATGGACTGTGCTCTGATGACCAGGTTACCTCAGCAGATCACAGTTGGTGATAATTGATTGAAGTCATCATCTTTCCTGCTCTGTTTCTGCTCTTTATACTATAAGCTTGTCCGGTTTGAACTTGATGGTTTGGTATGTTTTCCAAAGCTCCAGGGCTGCATAGCCAGTTGACAAGGTTCAAGTCCCTTGGGCCCAGGTACTTTGTTCCATAGCCACAGACACCAACCCCTAACCCTGAGAGAGAGAGAAGAGATGGGTCCTGTGAAAAATCATCTCCACTTGCAGAAACACGTATTTTCACTCAGAGTGATCCTTAGGGAGAGGAGAGCCAGGCCAGCAGTAGTTCTGTGAGGTTTATTGTCTCCCTACAAGTGGACTTGGAAATGGAGTGCACAGAATGGAAATGTGCCAGTTTCTAGGACTCCACAAAGGGCTTCCATCTCCTCATCTCTGCACAGTCAGGATTCTCCCAGACTTGTCTCCTGGGGGAATAGTAGAAGCTGCATTGCAATTTAGTGCTGCGGAGGAGAGGACGCGCTGGTCCTGGGCAGAGCCCCTCCCCCTGAGAGGCCACCCACCCAGGGATATGCAAGTCTGGTCACTCCTGAGCCTGCGTACCCACTGCCTCTCCTACTCTGTGAGTCACCAGGCTCTGGTGATAATGGTGGCGTCCTGGGACCAGAACTGCCCAGACCTGGCAGACCACACTGATTTGGATGCCCTTCTGTCACTTCCAAGCTGTGTGAGACGTTTGCCCTCCCAGAGCATCACTTGCTACACCTGTGATAGGTGAAAAGCAACACCCAGGCCAGATGAAGACTTGTATCCCCTGTGAGTGCTGAAAAGACTAGGATGCCCTAATGTTACACAAAGCATGAAACCATGCAACGCAGGGTGAAGGAGTCTAGTGACATTTTGATTCTTTCCCTGAAAGCGGTTGTGATATATTTTTGGTAATGTCGGATAATTTTTCCAGAAGACATTTCTTGTCACTTTTTTGGTGCTCCTGACCTGTGGGTGCTAAGGAGCCCCCGAGTGGTCTGTCCACCATCTATTTTGACCACAAGGAGGTGTCATGAGGGTCCAGTAAAAACAACGTGCTGGATACGTCACGTGTTCAATAAGTGTTGATTCAGTCTGAATTCATATCTATTCCAGTGCCTGCATTTTTCCTTCAAGGAGAAATAGAGGCCAGGGAAAGTGGAAAGCAGCAGAGAAGCATGGAAGGGTTGGTGTCCCTGGGTGGGGTCTCAGGAGAATCCTAACTGCATATGAATTCAGGAAAAAGTGAACCGGTTGTCTTCATTCTAACATTAAGAGCAGTAGCCTTACAAGTTGGGGAAACAGCAGGGAATTAAATTTCGTTTGCAGCGAGTTCCCTTTGTGTGTGCCTTGTACCCACCTGGCAGCACTCCCCTGGGTCCTGTCATCACAGCGCCCTGGGAGGTAGCACAGGCACGAAGCAGCCAGAGCGACTGAGTGACTTGCCCAACGTTGCCAAATATTGGAGAGCAGGGCTCCACACCCAGCTCTCCTGAAACAACGGGGGCCGAGGGGCATGTGGGCTCTCCCGACCCATGGTGCGAACCGCTCCATGCAGTTGACTGTGACTCAAGAAAGGGTTTTTTTTTCCCCTGTGTGGATTTTTGGCTGTAAACAGAGGCACTTTCATCAGGAAGCATGGACTGCATCTCAGCTGAGGCTGTGTTCTGGCCCAGTGGCTGTGGGGCGTGGGCATTGGGGCTAGAAATAGCTGAAGCCTAGTTAATTTAACCCCAAACTTCACGGACGCGCTTGTTCAACAGACCTGTGCCAGGTGCTGAGCAAGGCCCCAGGGGCACAAGTGGAAGAGGCCCAGTGTTTTCTGGTGGGTGAGAAGAGTGAGGGTCCAGAGACTCCCTGGCAGGGAATTATAGGAAAGGCTCTCAGGTTTGCTGGACAGAGGGTGGGAGAGTCGAGGCGGAGGGAAGGGTCTGTGGAAAGGCCCATTGGTGGAGGTGGGGCGGGGTTTGGTTTATTTTGAGAAGCGCGTGTTACAGCCTGGGGTGGCTAGACTGTAGTGTGGTAGGGAGATCGGGAACGCAGGGCCAAGTCCAGACTTTCCTCCCAAAACCTGACCAGTAGATGAGATAGTGGATTTGAGAGCTTTTTAGCAATGGCATTAACAGTGCTTGCTGACAGGTCAAGGTTTAAGGTGCAGAGAAAAGTCTGGAAGGCCTCTCAAACATCCATCTTGGTCCTGGGGTACTGCTAACAGGGCCTGCAGGAAGGGGAAGAGTGCTCCTGCCCAAGAGTATCCACCAGGCTGTGTTCCTTGGGGTGTGCTCCATGGGGCCCCAAACACCATCCCTGCCCTCCAGGAGCCTCTGGTTTGGCTGGGGAGGCTGGGCCCTTGACCACAGCTATCTATGTCCCTGCTGCTCTTAGCGACTCTGTTGCCCCCCGGCGTGGGACCCCTGCCTGCCTTCCTGCAGGGCCTACCCAGTCCCTGAGGCCTCCTCAGTGCCCCATGCACAGACTGCCCTGCCCCTTCTCTCACCTGGAGCACCTGTTGTCACACGGATTCTCATTTGGGTTTTACTGAGTGTCTTTTGTAAATTCTTCTCAAGTGTGAGCTGGCTTCCCTGCTGGATCTCCCGCAACCCGAGACCCAGGACCACCGGTGAGTGACCTCCATGGGATGTCCCCTGAACTAAGGAGTCAGGAATGTTAAGTCTTTTCATTTGAAAAGTCACTTGAAAAAAAACAACAACAACAAAACAAACTTGGGTAGTGATGACTCTGCTGAGTAAAACTGGCTTATCCTAGAACTGGAAGAATTCTGCCCGGATCCAGGCAGAAGGCCTCACATAATCACATGACCACCTCCGTGCGCAGACACCCCCGCCCCCATATGCTGTGCTGCTGGAGGCTCAGGCTGCAGTGTCTGTCCTGTGTAGATAAGGTCAGATTACTGCATGTGTTTATCTGCTTTGCCTGGGGAGCATGGGGGCCACATCGTGATCCATGTCCTGTGGCCCCAAACTGGCCAGAAACAAGCCATGCCTGCTGTAGGTGAGAGCCAAGCACTGTTGGGTTCCCCACCTCCAGCAGTTGTCTGTTGATATCAGGATTTTGGGGATCCATGTTAGTACACCAGGCATAGTGCAGGAAGCGAAGAGCTGGGGGACAGCCTGACTTCCCAGTCCTCATCTCACTCAGGATAAAGGTGGACATCCTTCAGTAGCTGAGCCTCCCTGACCTCAGCTCCTCAGACTCTGCCCAGCCCTCTGCCCCCGGGTTGTGTGGGCACCTCCAGGCCTCTGCACTTAGCCTCTCTTTGCCTGGACCTTTCCACAGCTGTGCACATGGCTTGCTCGTCACCCCCATCCCACCTTTGCCTGAATGGTCCCTGCTCAGAGAAACCTCTCTGCTTAAAATAGCAGCCTGCAGCCCTCACTTCCCTGCAAGCTTCACTGTCTGACGGACTGAGTATTTGACCTTGTGCTGTGTTTCATAACCCACCCCCCACCCCTCACCCCGCCATGTAAGCTCCATTAAGACATGCTGGTGAAGTCCCAGGGTGTAGGGACCACAGCCTGTGTGTACCCCGTCACTCCTCCAAGTACAGGGAATACAGTTGTGAATACCAAGTTGCATTCCCAAGTGAACATTCAGTGATGAGGTTCTAAAGGCAGCTGGTTCTACCCTGTAAAGTCCTTGAGTAGCTCGTGAGTGCAGAGGTGCTGACATTTCCCCTGAGGAGACAGCATGCTCACTTCATTGTTTCTCTTAGTGTTCTGGGTGCATGAAATCCATGTAAACTCACACGATGGAATTCTGCACGAAACACTTTGTGGGAGTGTAAAATCATCCTGCTCAAGCATATTTTGAAAAACACTTTGGCAAACTTGTGAGAAAAGAGACGGGGTGGAGACAGGTGCAGTGGCAGGGGTGTGAATCAGGGTTCTGTCTAGCTCACCGTTACCTCTAGTCCTGTACCGGCTCCTACCTTTGGAAGGTGCTTAGTAAACGTTTGATGACTAAATGAATGTCAGCTGAGGCTTTGGACTCTGTGATCTCGAATGACGTTTCTAGCCTGAAAGATGGTCTCCTGATGTACGAGGCAAAGAGAAATAGACACATGGCCAAAAATAAGGCAGCCCCAGATACAACGTGCGCTCCCATTTTCCCAAGGAGAAGATCCGAAATAGTTCTCCTGTCCCAATGGGCAGGTGTCCATTTAGAGTGATGTGACTTTAGTTTGACTTCCATATACTATTTCATGTAACATAATTTAAAATACAGACTAGATTTGTTTCTCACTCACATTTCCCAGAGCACTTCTGTTCCCCCTCTTCCCTCTCACCTCTGTGGATACCGTGTCCTTGGGAGCGTAGAGGTTTGCTCTCACCCATGGACTGGGGAGACTTGGGCAAGGCCCAGCCGGAACTCCTCCCCTGGACCAGCCAGGCCCACAGGCATCTGTGTCTGAAATAAGACTCTTCCAGCAGGGTGGCTGGGACTATGGTGGCCACGTGGCTTGGCTGCTCTTACGGGCCTCGCGCTTTTTCCTGGATTGGGATGGTATGTTATGATCTCAGATAACTGATTAAAGTAGAGTCAATTCAAAGACTTTCGTTTTGTGGGAGTGTGGCGAGGGCAGAGGTAAGAATTGTTTTTCTTTTCGGGGCTCCACTTTCATTGCCTAAGTGATGGTTCTCTAGACGCATTGCGTTTCTAAAATTAGTTGGCCTTTTAGTTACCAATTCCCGCCTGTCCAACAGGTGCGGAGGACTTGTTTATTTGCTGGTGGGTGCAGCTCTATCTGTTTTTCCAGACTTTGTTCTTCATTCCCTCCTGTTTGTACTTCCTTCTGGGACAGCAGTAGAATGTGCAGCTCCTCAGCCCATCCTGCCTGGGAGGCAGCTCGGAGGAGGGCTGGAGGAGCTCACTGGGCTGTGCTCCCGGTGCTGGCTCCATCGGGAAAGCCCTGTAACCTCATCAGTTTCAGTTTTATCATGTGTCTCTTGGGATTTTCTTACCGCCCTCCTCTGCCAGGCAACCTCCTGCTGGTTCTCCAGGCAGGGTCCTGTGGCTAAGATGGCCTTTACGCTCCACCTTCACAGGTGTAGACCCTAAGTTTTACTGGAACACTGGGAGGTGACCTGATATAGACAACTGACTCATGCTGTCAAACTCACCATGTCAACTTAGGAGAGAGGAAAACGAGAAAACAGCCAGTGCTCCTGGGCGCATGTCTTTTCTTTTAGGCAAGACTACATTATAGTCAGATGTACCTTTCCATACTGAGAAGGATTACTCATAAACAGCACAATTATAATGAGCGTTTTGAGGAAGAAACCAGTGAAAGGAGTTGCCCATCGTAGAAAAACTAGACACTATGCATAAATAAAAAGATTCTTTATGTGTGCTTATATATAAACAAGTCATCCCAAAATACCACTACCCAGAGAAAACCACTCTTAACATTTGTTGCGTAATATACAGTTGACCCTTGAACAATGCAGGGTTAGGGGTGCCGACCCGTTGCACAAAAATCCACGTGTAACTTTTGACTCCCACAAAACTTAGCTACTCATAGCCTACTCTTGACCAGAAGCCTTATTGATAACAAGGACGATTAACACATATTTTGTGTTTTATGTATTCTATACGGTATTCTTTTTTTTATTTTTAAGATTTTATTGGGGAATTGGGGAAGGGGAACAATGTTGGGGAAGGGGAATAACCAAGTTGTCCTTTGATCGTAGTTGTGGATGGCGCAGCTAGCTCAGCTCCAAGTCCAGCTGCCATCTGGCCGCCCGTGGGCAGCTCACAGCCGCTCAGCTCAAGGTGACATGTTCAATCTTAGTTGTGGGTGGGCGCAGCCCACCATCCCATGTGGGAGTCGAAACGGAAACCTTGTTGCTAAGAGCACATGCTCTAACCACTGAGCCATCCATCCGCCCAGCGGCAGCTCAGGGCAGCTCAACTCAAGGTGCCGTGTTCAATTTTAGTTGCGGGTGGGCATAGACCATTATCCCATGTGGGAGTTGAACCGGCAACCTTGTTGCTAAGAGCACACGCTCTCACCAACTGAGCCATGCTGCCACCTGTTGGCATCTCAGCAGCAGCTCAGCTCGGGTGTAGCTCACTGGCCCATGTAGTAATTGAACAGGCGATCCTGTTGTCAGAGCTCACACTCTTAACCAACTGAGCGACTCGGCTGGCCACCTCTATACTGTATTCTTTTTTTTTTATAAAGATTTTATTGGGGAATTGGGGGAGGGAAACATCTCTGGGGAATCAGGGGAAGGGGAACAGACAAGTTGCTGTCCTTTTGTTCTTCAGTCTAGTTGTGGAGGACGTAGCTTCACTGGCCCATGTTGGTATCATCATTGCGCTCTTCCCGGGTGAGGCAGATCGGTCACTGGCCTCTGGATGGCCGCTCACGGCAGCTCTTGGCAGCTCACACTGGCTGCTGGCCTCTCACGCTGGCTGCTGGCCACACATGGTAGTTTTACAGCAGCCCACTGCAGCAGGGGCTGCAGCCTATGCTGTCGCCGGTGACTCACGGCAGCCCAGCTCCAGGTCGAGCTGTTGTTCATCATCTTAGCTGTAGAGGGCAGTGTCACTGGCCCTTGTGTGGGATCCGAACCGGGGCCCTGCTGCTCAGAGCTGACGTCCCAAGCCAGCTCTTAACCAATGGGCCACTCGGCCGGCCCTGTACTGTATTCTTAACAATAAAGTAATCTAGAGATAATGTTAAGAAAGTCATAAAAGAAAAGACATTTACAGTATTTATTGAAAAAACTCTGTATGTAAGTGGACCCTCGAAGTTCAAACCTGTTCAAGGGTCAACTATATATATAAATACACACTTTTAAAGTAGAATCATACTACATATGCTGCTTTTACATTCTTCCTTCACTCAGTGTTACATCAAGACCATCTTTCTATGTCAATAAAAATAAATCTGTATTATTTGGGGAGGGATAGGGGGACAAATACAATTACACTGTATAGGTAAATTAGATCGGTAACCAGTCCCTTTGGTTCAGCATCAAGACATTGCTACATAAAAACGTTTTGCGGGCCAGCCGAGTGGCACGGTGGTTAAGAGCTGGCTTGGGACGCCAGAGAGACCCGGTTCGGATCCCACATATGAGGGCCAGTGACACTGCCCTCCACAGCTAAGATGCTGAACAACAGCTCAACCTGGAGCTGGGCTGTCGTGAGTCGCCGGCGACAGCTAGGCTGCAGCCCCTGCTGCAGTGGGTTGCCATGGGCTACCGTGTGTAGCCAGCAGCCAGCGTGAGCGGCAGCGACCGCCGTGAGCAGCCATCCAGAAGCCAACTGATCTGCCTCACCGAGGAAGAGCACAATGATGGTGCCAACTTGGGCCAGTGAAGCAACGTCCTCCACAACTAGACTGAAGAACAAAAGGACAGCAGCTTGTCTGTTCCCCTTCCCCCAATTCCCCAGCGCTGTTCCCATCCCCCAATTCCCCAATAAAAATCTTAAAGAAAAAAACATTTTGCATGTGACTCTGCACACGTGTTCATTTATCTCTTGGATAAATGCCTCAAAATGGAATTGAGTCAAAAAGAGTGGACAGGTAGCAGCTGCCTTCTGGAAAAGTTGTACTAAACTGACCTGCTCTGTTGTGTCCCATGTGCTGTTGACACTCTGTCACAGGAACGCAGAATGGTTTGCCAAGGCTTTGACAGGAAGTCAGCATGGTATAAACTGTACTATTATTACTGTCATCATCACCACAGTTCCTAGGAATTGTACTACTTTCTAGTTTAGAACCATTCTTTGAGTCCTGCTTGTCTTTTGATTTCGCTTCGGATTAAGAACAACCCATGCATTGTCTCACTCTTTTCTTTTTTCTTGTGTACTTCTGTCTCGTCCTCTGCTGTGTCTCCATAAATACAAGTAAGACAAACAGGTATGTGT